AATTGAGTTTTATTGTCCGCATTTTTTTTGACTTATTCAATAGTCCGGCTTATAAGCGTCCACTATAGCCTATGGATGTCTACAATTACATTCAAAAGAAACTTCTTAATAAGCTTATACTTGATTTTGAAATGTGTTTTAGGTTATTTTTGTTCCCTCCCGAATTAATCTCATATGAATTTTGTATTTAATTACATTCAAATTGTATCATATCTGTAACTTACAAACCCAATCTGGCAACCATTGTGGTTAAATTATAGTGAATTTTCGTTAGACAAATTAAGTTTTTTGGTACTCAAAATTAACTGGAAAACGACCCTCCGAGTAACAAGGCCTATGTACCTCGTTATTGTACCTTTGTTGCTTATTTCGTATATAAATAAGAACTCGTTTGTTTTAAAACTATATCTATATTAATATTTGTTTGTAATAGATAATCTTATATATATATATATATATATATATATATATATATATATATATATATATATAGTCCAGGCTTATCTACATGCAAAACGTTGGAGCACTGGTTATGTATAAATCTAATTATTTTCCCCGATTTTATCTATTTGATCGAGATTTGATGAGATTGATTGATCGAGATAAAAACTGAGATACCCAAACTGAGATGTCCTTCTCTATCTCAAATGCTATACGTATACTGAACTTCATAATGACTGGTTCAATTATTAAGGTGCCAGTAGATAAAAAACTAATTTTCACGTTCATCATTATAACTATTCTGTGGACATAATAAAAAAATATTATGCAGTACAATGGACAACATTTTCTGAAATACAAACTGAAAAAGAAATTAATACACTTTCATTATACATAAAATACACAGATATCCAAAAATAAGTAGCTACACTCCTAAAATATACAAAGGTTTTATGATAAAATACAAGTTCGTAACTCAAATATATAGGGAAACATACTGCCACATCATTAAACGGGGCGCCTTCGAAGTTTCCTTCCTCTTTAATAATCGAGTTTTGTGTTTTTATATTATATACGATAAAAGAGAAGTTTATATCTTATTTACAAGTTGAAAATTGTTTGTACAGATACAATTTGCATGTTTACAATAAATAAATATTACTAATTCAATTTTAATCATATCCATAAACAGTAACAATAAAGTTTTAATTTTTTCCTCTGAACATCGCTATTGATGGGTATTAAATATGTATATATTATTATATTTACGTATAAATTGTTCATTTAACAGATAATAATATTGAGTAGTTTTTAGGGGGAAAGGGATTGTTAGCAATGGAGTTTGATAGCTCCATTGCTGGCAATATGCCCTGTCAGGTCGACCTCCACGTGGTTCTCCCTGGAAACCATCGTGATTAATTTATTGTTAGATGCGTCACGATGGGCTAACTGACCTGCTTCATCGTCACCTATCATCTCTCACTGATGCCCCGCCAGTGTAAACCGATAGCGCAGGCGGGGTTGCCATTTCATTATCATCCATTAAAAAAAAATATTAAGTAGTTTAAACATATAGTGAATATTTTCTTGTTCCATACTTTTTAGGAAATGACTTTGCAGTAATCGGATTTTAGCTTTTGAACGTCTTTTTTTTAACAAAAAATTTATAGGCATATGTTTTATTTAAATTTAATAAAAATTTATTAAAATTGTGAATTTTTTCAAATTAGTTATATTAGTCATTTAAATTAAATAATTTATGAAAATTGGTATATCAACAACAAAATGTCAACAGAATATTTCTAAATAAGGGTTTTGTTATATATGAGAACAAATTAAATGCTTATTCACTGAATAAATTGAATGAATGAATAGGAAAAAATACTGAGAAATGTATTCATTCTAAATTGTTATTAACCAAACAAATAGGTAAATATATTTTTATTTGCATCTCATACCGCGATATTGAAAATTAGATGTAAACAAAATTCGGATTTCGCTTAGAAGTAAAAAAGACATATAATCTTAAATTGTTTATTGCTTTTTACGGAACCCTCTTGAAATCCTCTCGAAACGTATTTCAAGAGTTTGTAAATGAAAAATTTTAATTAAATCAAGATAGATCCTTTCCGTAAATAGCAATAAATTTTCTCTCACTCTTTCTCTCTTTATGCTCTCAAAAAAGGCAATTTATATTGTAATGCATAACAATTGTTTATATTTTATTGACTTTACACTATTAATCAATCAAGTTATTTTTATTGTCATAAATATAGATGTCGTTAGTACATTAAATATTGTATTTTATGTAAAATCATCATTGGTAAACAAATCTTATTGCTTACTAGTGATCCGGTCCATCTTCGGACGAGTAGATATAATTTTCAAGAATAATATATCGCCTAAGTATATAAGCTTATGTTACTTGCTGATAGTGTAGTTTTCTGTAGATCAAAGGAATTTATTAAATTGGTTTAAGAGTTTCTGAATTTATCCTTTACAAACAAACAATTAAAAAATCCTCTTTTGGTACAATATTTATTTCATTGATAAATTATTGCCATGAGATATATTTCCATAACATTAAACCAATTAATCTAAATGACAGACAAGCCTACCGCTTGCATCCTGCTATGTTGGATTCTAATATGATTAGCGAAATGTGGGTATATATGTTAAATGTGGGTATTTATGTCAGATACATATGTTACACAAACACAACAGTTGATAAGTGCCTCTGACGACACTATCAGCTATTGTCGTGCACATATTTTTTCTTCTAATTTCATTAGTATTATTACTTTTTAATCTAAACTGATATCAGTTAATTTTCCACTGTTCTGTTTTGCCATGTTTTAAGGTCTGACCAATTAGTTCCCTTAGTCGAGAGAGAAAGGAAGCGATGCTATGATAATAGTGTAATTGTTTATCTGTTACATTTTTCTATTTTTTTCACGGCATAATTACATTTCTGTTTTGCCAAAGATTGACTGGGAGAGAATGCTATATAGTATTAAGTCCGCCTTTTGTACCAGCCATTTTTTTTTAATACAGTCAATAAATAAATAGTATAAAATAAATGAAACTTATTAGTGACAATAACCTATCTGATTACCATACGTGATATCGTAATATTAAGATTTTGTTAACAAAAGATACTACGATTGTAATTGAATTAGTATTGAACTAACCTCATTAAAAGTTAGGTCAAAATTGCCGAAAATACTCGTAATATATCTACAAAAAAAAATCGTCGAATCGAGAAGCCCTTCCCTTATGATGTCGCTTGAAAAGGAAATAAGTAGGCGTTTTTCGAATACGTGTTTCCTGCGTAAATTTCTATTAGAAAAATATATATGTGCATAATGGCGTCATTAAAAATCGATTATTGACTTGTAAACCGAAACAAACGAATGTAGTATAAAAACGTTAGCTGTCCCGATGAGATATTTTCTACTGGGCAAGTTTTTGGCGGGAGAGCGAGCTGCTATTCAGAAAAGTTAAGCCCGGAAGGTAATTTTGTTCTTTATTATTTTTCAGTGCCCTCGGGGCGTTTCGTCTAAAATAGAGGTTTCGTGAACAAATCGATTTTTAATTTGGCTTCCTCCTTGTGGGACTAACCATATTATAGGAGATTAAATTTTCGCTTATTATTTTCCATCGCAATTTTTATTATGCTGCTCAAATAATTTAACGTACAAGATTTGTCTGTAGCCTATTTTCATCATTATAAGCATAAAGAATACTCCATTATCTTCATAGATTACGGGATAATAACTTTAAATTCAGTTGCGTGAAACTGTGATTGATGTTTATTTATAATAATTTTCGTATTCAAGATAGGTTTACCCTATCATTATAGCTTGGCATATTCTCTAAGTATATAGACTTAGACTAGACCTAGGTAGATTGATTAATTTAGCAAATTGGCCATAAAAATGTAACAAACCAGATTACCGATCTTCTTTTGCAATGTGTTCTGTTTTTCGTTTTCAACAAACAATTTATATTAATCTAGAAAGCTATTACAAGTATATTGCATTACAATATTTAATATTGTTCAGTTGAGTAAAAAAAAATCCTTAATTTAATTGTAAATTCCTAGCAAAATTTTTAAACAGACTTCTGTTAAGCGGTACAAATAATATTTTTTTTTATTCTATTGACACGAATAAAGCATAGTAAAGTTTTATAGACGTAAGGGGTATTTTGTATTGACGTGTGTGCGCTGTAGCAAACAAATCTGTGTTCTGTTATTATAAAAATATACACCGAGACATATCGTCAACCCTACAATCAATCACTCCTACAACCCTTCAAATAAGTTGCAAATGAATCTATAAATAGAATCAGTCGTCGTCACCATATTCTTATGAACTCATTATTAATAAATAACGATTCTATAGATTTATTTGCTTACTGCTTACTTATCTATGGGAGTTGGGTTTAATTAGCTCGTTAGTTTTTATGAACTGAGTAAAATATTACTAGCTGTTTAAGGACTTACTTATGAAACTAAACATTTTTATCTAGAGATATGGGTAGTGGAATAATACAAAATATAGCCTCTCATACTAACTTGACAGCTGGACACCATGATAGCTAATACTGCGCCAAAATTAAATCCTTGCTCTCAAACTTTTGTTCCTTTTTTACAATCAGATACTTTTACGAGTACTTCTATAATAATAAAATCTTAACATGTAATGAAAATACAAAATATAACAATTAGAAGATAATTTTTGATATAAAGTATTTTTATAATATAATTTCTGCTAGAAACAAAAAAAAAAGTAAAACAATTATTACATTCAATATATAAAATGTATAGGAGCATTTATATGTTATAATATCAAACTCAATATTAAGAAACAGAAATTATAACTGTTGTTTATTTGTATATAGGATATACAAATAAACAACAGTTTATAATTTCTGCTTATAATACTCTACTTAGTTTAAAAATATAAACTAAGCAGACATTGTACTATAACATTATTTTACTAGACAGTTAAAAACTAATTGCAACAATATACATTAATTTAATATTTTTGTTGTAGAAATTGAAGCCATATCCTGGGACACCTAATGCACAATGTCATTGAAATGACGTCGAATCAATATGGATATATTTACTCGAATATCCAATGGAAAATGTGGAATATACGCATTTCTGATCATCATCCATATTCAGATACTGCAAGGAGAAGAACAGTCACAATGTCCAAGTTTAGCAGAGAACCCAATTTGTCCATGCTATAACTTCAAAGAAGGTGAAAGGCTCTATTACGTATACAACTTATATTCAATCTTATTATTTGCAGCTTAAATTATTCTAATTATTATTTATTTTCATTTCAGGTCTATTTTTGGAATGTCCTAGTGCGACTCCGGGAGTGGTAAAGAATATTCTGTCGAAGATAAAAGGATCAATACAATCATTATCTATTTATGATTTAGAAAGTTCAACTACAGAACTGAAAGCAGAGCTTTTTCCATTAAAAATAAAAATATCCAATTTACAAATATCACAGTCAAGCATAAGTAAAATTAACCCTGATGTCTTTACATCTCTTCGTGATTCATTGAAGTCTCTGAGCATAATTTCCAGTAAATTAAGTAAAATTCCACATGAATCTTTCTTCGAATTGCACAATATAGAAGCCCTTGATTTACAACTCAATGACATCAAAGATATACAAGCAAATACTTTTCGAAACCTAAAATTGAAGAAACTTAATTTGAAAGGAAACAAAATAGCAAATATTTCAGAAAATGCGTTTTATAATTTAGAGGAATCATTAACTGAATTGGATTTGACAGAAAATTATTTAAATACATTCCCTCTAAGACCGCTGGGAAAGTTGAATAAATTAATCAATCTTAGACTTGCTTGGAACAAAATACATACGATACCTAGTGACATAGATATTACTATACCAAATTTACAGAGACTAGATGTAAATTCTAACTCATTTACTACAATAGATAAAAACTGGTTTAGATGTATGCCAAAACTAAAAACATTATCGTTTTTTAGTAATCAAATAAATAAAATAGATGATGAAGCATTTATTTCGTTAAGTGATTTAGAAACAATTGACTTAAGTCGAAATAAAATTATAAGTGTCGATAAAAATATCTTTCAGAATAATCGCAAAATTCGCACAATAGATTTAAGTTACAATCACATACATCTCATCAAAGGTGTATTTTCAAATCTTCGTTTTCTTTCTGAGATATTTTTATCGGAAAATAATATCCTTGAAATAACAAATGACGCATTTGAAAATGCTACAAGTTTAACAGTACTCAACTTAGAACATAACGCTATACAACAATTACATATGAATTGTTTTTCATCTTTACAAAATTTGACTCAACTTCACATGGGAACAAACTTTTTGAAAAAAATCCCGCGTAACATTTTTCAATATAATCATAAATTAGTGACCTTAAGTTTAGATAATAATGAAATTAACGAATTAGATGAATTGGTATTTGATAAACTTAAAGAATTAAAAGAAATACGTTTACAAAATAATAAATTAGCTCATATTAAACGAAATGTATTTAGTCCATTGCCGGATTTATTAGAACTACATTTACAGAATAATGTTATTCAAAGTATAGATTCACATGCATTTATAACACTTAAAAATCTTCAGCATATTAATTTGCAGGGTAATCGCTTAACAACAATTGGAGATGTATTTCCAAATAGAAATTCATCATTAGTCTCTATTCAACTCGGCGTAAATTATTTATCGTTATTAAAGAATAGTTCTCTTAGAGGGCAAGTAAATGTGCAAATAATGTGGCTCAGCCAAAATAATATTAAACTTTTGACTTCTAACTTGTTTAATGATTTGTTAAATATTCAAAGGCTGTATTTAAAAAATAATAGTATTGTACATATAGAAAATAAGACATTTATGCATCTTAAAAGGTTAAAATTTCTAGACTTAAGTAATAATAAACTAGTAAAATTGAGCAATGAAACATTTTTTAAACTTGTGACATTAGAAGAACTTCATTTACAGTGTAATTATATAAATCAAATAGCAAAAGATACTTTTAGATATTTAGTTAAATTAAAAGTATTAGATTTATCACAAAATGAAATTATTGTTCTGGACTTGGATATTTCTTCTCTTGCAATAAAACAGCTTCGATTAAATAAAAATTCAATATCAATAATTGAATCTGACTCACTGAAAACTCTACCAAATTTAAGTGATTTAGAAATGAACAATAATCTTCTAACATGGGAAGATATCATTCAAGTCCAGATACCTGGTTTAAAGTCCCTAATAATATCCAAAAATAATTTCATTCATTTGGAAAATAAAACATTTTCACATTTACCATCATTACAAACTTTGTCATTGGAACTATCGAACATATCCCAATTGCCTCCAGCTACTTTCATCAAAAATCAAAATCTCTTACGTATAAACTTAGCGTTTAACAATTTAAAGGATCTGCATAAAGATGTATTTGCATATACAACAATATTACAAGATTTGAATTTGAGAGGGAACAATTTTACAGATTTTCCTCATGTTGCTTTGTTTAATATAACTTCTTTAGAGGTATTAGATTTATGCCACAACCAATTGCATAGTATTGATTTTTTTAAATTTATAGGGTTACAGAATTTAAGAGTTTTAAATTTATGCGATAATCATATTTCAATATTAAATGGTTTTAACTCTCCGGCATTAAAAAATCTAATTACGTTAGATTTGAGTAAAAATATGTTATCAGTTCTACCTCCAAATTTTTTTCAACATTCACTGGGTTTGAAAGAAATCGATTTATCAGGTAATCTTTTCAAACATATACCAAATAATGGTTTATCTGAAGCCGTACTACCGGCTCTCACAACTTTGAATATGTCGACGAATTCCTTAAAACAGTTATTTCAATCACATCCAACGAAACAATTTCCTATTTTGAGTGAGTTAGTAGTAACTGGTACTAATTTAACGATAATTACAAGTAAGGATTTCGAGAATTTTCCGTCATTAAAAAAATTAATTTTAAGTAAAAATTCCATTGATAGATTATCACCCGGTGCGTTTGCAAAATTACATAATTTAGAAAAATTGGACTTAAGTCAAAATAAATTAGAAAATATTCCTAGAGAAAGACTTCAAGGGTTATATTCAGCAAGATCAATAAATATATCTCACAATACAATTAGAGAACTTGAAGAATTTACTCCAGATTTACAAAGTCTTCAGAAACTGGATCTTTCTACTAACCACATCACAAGAATAAACAAAGACATTTTTCGTGGATTGCAAAGTCTTACAGAATTATATTTAAGTAACAACTGGTTGTCAGCAATTTCTTCAGATGCATTTCGGAATCTAAACAAAATCTCATTAATAGATCTTAGTCATAATTATTTTGAAGTAATTCAGATGAAAATGCTTGTAACGCTGGAAACTCAATTAAGGACACTTTCATTCGATGGTAATTAAAACCGTTTTGTTTCTTTTTCATTATTTGTGATGATTACAAATTATCTTAATAATAGATTTATTTATTTTTACAGAAAACCCTTTAACTTGTAATTGCGAATCTCAAGATATATGGCGATGGATGCAAGATCACTACAAGATTGTTAGAAAAAGAAGTAGTAACTTACGTTGTGAACACCCAGAAGAATTGCATGGTTACAGTTTTATAGAATTGTCTGCTCAAAAGCTTTGTAATATTCCTGTTATAATCAGAATTGCTATACAAGACATACAAACATATTCTATAATTGTTTCTTGGCAAAATCGCAATCAAAGTGGTCTAAATGGATTTCAAGTAGCGTATTTTGGAGAACAAAATCCAAGTATTGTAAGTATGGTATTAACTATCAGTTGCTCTTAAATATAAGCTTTCTACACAAGTATAAAGGTTTAACCTTTTGTGATTAGATATATTGTGTTTTAGAATCCTAATAATGATGCCTTTTAATTTGCCATCTGTGTAATGAAACAAAATTATGTAAATAGCTAAAGTATCAGATCAAACATAGAAGCATTATAGTAAATTTTGCCTTTTTAAGTATATTCATGTAACTTCAATACCAACAAATATGTAAGCTAGTATTACAACAAGCATTTGAATACAAAGGCAGTGCATCACTTCAATGGACCATAAAAAATATTTATGTTTCTCGTCGGTGAATGTGAATTCATTTTAATATTACTTTTAATAACAGTTTTACTTTTTTATTTATTCTAAAATTTTATTTTCTAATAATATATTTCATTTGTATTAAATACGTTTACAAAATCAATATTTCTGTTGCAGATTCGAGGAAAATTTTTAAATGTCACAGCCAGATCAACAAGATTAAATCATCTAACACCTGGTTCGCGATATACTGTGTGCGTATTAGCTGTCGGTAATTTCGGGGCATCATCATCAACTGGATCATCTATTCCTGATGCCAGGATAGCTCCCTCACCAGAAAATCTCAATAATAACATATACGGAGACGAAATATTATTCAATCGCTTACGACCTTTTATGAACGATTCTGCAACAAGTAAATGCACTACAGTAACCACTATAGAACTATTTGGTGCTGCTTTAGATAGTCCGTTTTCTAATACATATATGGGGATTGCCGACATATTAACCAGAAGACTTAGTTTGGTTGTGGGATGTTGCATTGGATTTATAGTATTCATTGTATTAGTTTCAGCTTTAGGTTATATAAAAACAAAGAAACGTCCAATTGTTGCTAAAGCAGAAGTACAACAAGCTCCTCAATATATATCATATGACAATTTCAATACTCCGAATGTTGAAGTTCAAACCACAGACATGGATATAAATACTATTACAGATAAAACTAAACCGCAATGCAAACACGATTGAACGATACATGAAACGTACATAAACTTAGAAGAGCTTAAAGAAAGATACGAGTTCGGATTTTTCCAATTTGATTCCCTTATGAATAGGATGCCACTCACGTCGGGGTGAAACCTTTTATACCTTCATCGTCTTTGAAACTTCTTTTAGAAGTTTGGCAGACAGGAATGAATTATTGCAGCTACAAGCTATCAATAACGAAATGTGTGATAATCGAAAAAGTTTGCCGTCACTGGTTGTAACTTAGATGAAACAATTTAGCTGGTAATTAATACAAATGAGTCATTGCTGCTCCAATCCAACATATTTTATTTGTGTATGTTGATAAACAATAATCACTATAATTTTCAATTATGGAAATAAAAAAAAAATGAAATACTAATGATAGGATATGTATTTCATAAATTTTTTAAATATACATATTATTTTAGTTATTATAAATATTAAAAAAAAAATTAAACCAAAGGATAATTTAATAGGCTGTTATAATATGCTAATTATTTAATTCATTGAGAATTCCTCTGTTCATTACAAATAATTTTAATCTCGTCTATAAACGTCTAACGTTGTATTTTTTACTGTGAAATAAATAATTTATTGTGATTATACTAGGTAAGTGTACATTATTAAAATTAATGAACAATTGTGTATATTGAACATAAATTATGCCAACTTGGTAGATGTTAAATTGTAAAAAGTAATTACGAAAATTTTTATGTGTAACAACTATGAGAAGTGGATATTTATACTCTGACGAATTCAACTAAAACTATGTTAGTCATAAGTTAATAATAATGTATAAAATAACGAAGATATCAGACTCGATTAGCGTTATGAACTACTTATGTACCAACCTGTGTTGATATCTATTTTAATTCATCACAATCAGTTTAAAACTAGCATATGAAGACTGTAGTATTGGTAATAAAATTTTTAAACTTATACTATTTTCCTTATTCATATTATAAATATAATATTAATATGCTCTCCCTTTATTAATAACTTGCTTTTATCTGCAAGTTTATCTATGTGACCGGCATATGTTCAGTGACCGACATAAAAATACTCGTATTCTATGTCCTTCTCCAATCCATATAGTTTGTGTATTTTGTGTAATAGCAAATTTCACAGTGGTTGGGCCGTTAAGGCACTAAAAGGTAACAAATAGACGAGCCCACTTCCACATTTACAATATTAATAAAAATTATCATACATAGCATGTCTATTCAATTTTTACAAGATGATACAAAATTACAAAAAGTAATAAAAAGTTATCAACAACAGTTATAAAAAAAATATTAAATTATTTATTAATGAACACTTTTGTTAAAATTTTCGAACTTTCGAGTCTGTCACTCAAACACATCACGCTTAAACAGCGGAACGTATTTTAATATATTTGATAAATAAATAAAAGACATCTATTTATTTATCAACTATAATATCATATGTGAAATATTTTTGTGAATAAATAATTTGCCCCATGCATTTAATAAAGTACTAAAAATAAATATAGGAATAAATATAAAATCTTGTACCTCTACTTGTACATTTCAAAACCAAAATCACTCCTTCTTTTATCTACTATTGATAAAACTTTATATGACTCGTTTACATACCACAGCCTTATCAAATCCAGACCGTAAAGTGAGAAGACCTACATCGTTAAGGACCAATAGGTAAGATTTCTAGTACTATCTGTGACACAAAAAAACATATTTAAAGAGGTCACAGTATTTATTCTTTGATAGTCTATAAATTTTTTATACTATTTGAAAGGGCAAGTAAACTAACAATCATTACTTATGGGCATGAAGAAGCCGTGTTACCCCGGCAAAGAATGGGCCACTTTTTCCTTTCCCGTGGGTATCGTAAGAGGCGACTAAGGGATTTTAATAGGCGAGAAATAGACAGCAGCGTCCCACTTAAAACACCACCAAAGCCTAACTGTGGTTGCAACCCGCTTGATTACCATGATAAGTACTGGCAAAATCCCCCTTTATGACGGAGGCCTATGTTCAGCAGTGGACGGCTGACGACTGATATGGTATGGTATATGGTGTGGAGCTCTCAGAATACACTGCGTCGTTCAAAATACATATATTGCATTTTATTTAAGAGATTGATTGATTTAAGAGAATATATAATATAATAGTGAGTAGTCGACTGAAAAAGTATATTGTTATTTAATCTAATCAATCAGATTTTTTATCATTGTTATACAGTAATAAACTTATTGTAGGTACAGTTGATTGGACCAGTTACTGACTCTAAACTGATCCGTGTTTTTTATGCAACTTAGAATGGCAAACAAGCTGACACACCTAATGGAAAGTGGTACCCCATCGCCTGACATGAGTAGTACCATGGACATAATAAAGTATACTGTTTCGCCCATGATACTTCCCATGCGTTGCCATTCCTGAGGACTGACTGTTGATTAGCAACTATCATCATTCAAATCAGTACAACATTGTTCCAACAGCATTCTCTTTGCATATAGAGTCAGTCAGTTCTTGATAACAATACTGAAGCGTGTAATGGAAGATATAAATATACCTTTATCCAAACAATCCCTTAAAATGTTGTTTCTCATATCTATTTTGTGTTAGCATAGTTATGTTGTATGCTATTCCAAATCGCATAAAATTTTACTGCAAATTTATATTCACTGCCAATACCCTAAATCTACCTATCAAATATCTTGTATTTAGAACACAATGTAAATCTTTGGGTGTGCTAACATTCGTTTCTGTCTATCTATAGTGCCCTATTAAATGGATTAAATGAATAATTCAGAAGCAAAAGTCGCGACCGAGTAGATGCCTTGAGAGCCTTTCTTTACTCGCGACTTCTGCCACATTTAAGAGTTAAGTATCTTGTGATGTTTTACATATTTGTATAAAAAATATAAAAAAAATTATCCAATGAAATTATATTGGGTAAAAACAAATATCAAGATATAGTTGTTTAATAATTTGTATTAAACAACTATTATTATTTATATTATTGTGTATTAACATAATTTTAAGGGATAATTCTATTAGTGAAACTAAACAATTTTCCTAAAGAAACATGAATCGAAAATGAAAAATAATGTATAGAAATAAGATCATCATTACTGCCATACACAGAGCATCTAATCTGTTTCGCTCTAGATGTATCACTTCCATTGTATGTTGCATATAATAGCTACATTCATATTACATACCGCATGTTTACATTGCAAATATAAAAGCTATGTACAAAGAGAAATGGAACGCCGTGTGAATGCTAAATGGAGTGTGTGATCAGCCTTCTTCAAAACATTCTAAATTAATGAGATATATACGTACAGAATTTACACAACAGATATTCATATACCTACATTATTCTGTGAATCAGAAATGGATAGGTTGTCATCCTACAGTTAGAAAGGTAAGATAGCTAGATGATCTTTATTACAAAGAAGCATAAGAACCAGTATTAGGAATGGCAAAAACTTAGCATAGCTAATGATATTTATGACAATGTTTATACTAAAGGTGAATTTAACTAAAAAAAAACGAAAAGTAACCAAGTTAGAATACAGAAGATGTAGACTGGACTAACATTCAAGCAATATATTGCAATTTCTGTAAAGAAAAACAGCAAGTTTATAGTAACAAAATGAATTTGGCACCAACAATAAATCAATTGCAAAATAATAATCAAAATCGGTTCAGACATAATGAAGGCATCATGTAGTATATAAAAAATACAAGTGAGAACTTTCTTTTGGAAATCACTTAATAACTTAGAATATTGTTTATGAATGCAGTTGGTCAACTAAAAATACTCTTAGTAGTATAGTGGTGTAACATATTGCTCGACCTTTTCAATGAATGGCTACAGGTTTGATCTTTGTACCATACAAATATTTAAATAAATTAATATGTCTGTATTGACATGCATATTTTATATATGTTTTATGTATATGCATTTTTACAAAGTAAGAACCTATAATATTTACGAGAAAATATAGCTGTCTATTTAATAACATCAGAGGGCAACAACCCAACACAAGTAGAAATAGTAGTTATCTATTTGTTTATATTAGTTTAAACATATAAAAAATAGCGCATTACCATCAAGAATACAAAGTAGCTACTAAATGTTCACCCATGTGCAGACTGAAATATCGCTCTTTGATATTCTCACTGTTTTCGCCAGAAAATAGAAATATTTAGCTTTGAACTTTATTGGTAGCTACGTACGTATACACTGGTTCATGTTTTGGAAACTGTAGTCTGATCTTTACGGCTTTAGATATATTTTATTATTCAGTTAAATTTCCAGAAATATTGCATACTTAAATGTATTTTGATTTTAATATTAATTTACTAAATCTATACTAAAATTATAACGATGAAACATTTGTTTGTTTGTTTGCAACGAATAAACTCAAAAACTACACAACTGATTTTGAAAATCCTAGCTAAATTATCAGCGAGTAACAAAGCCTATATGCAATATTGTAATCGAAAATTCTATATACCCATGCGAAACCTGGATCCTTAGTATAATATATATATATATATATAAGTCCTTTTTGTGGTTTGGTATTGAAATTATATAAAAGAACCTTTATGTTGCAACTTTGTTCGTCCATCCGTTAGATATCCATCCACTATATCTCAGCAATCGTTTTATTACTGTATATTATTAGATACGGATAATTCACATATACTACAAGAGATATAATTGAAAAAATAATTCCTTTGTTAAGGGGTCCAATTACACACAAGTACACGAAAATTCAAAATGGCCCTACTATTCCATGTACAATATTATGTGAAAGGGCTACATTTATACATTTTAAAATCTTTTTTTTCTATGCTTCACTTGAAAACTAGTGGAGCAACTTGACTAGGAGAAAAAAGAAAGAAAAGAAATTGGCCCGGCAAATCTGTCAAATTAACCAATTAACAAAATTATCAAAGCATTAATCCGTCTCGAAATTCGACAATGGAACATATTGATAGTAATTAATTATTGGCACTTTTGGAACATTTATAATTATTTTAAATGTCAGATGCAGGATATTATTCTATGTTTTAACGTGATCTGTAGTATATTATGTAATTACGTAATTAGTAGCACTAGCATCCAATTTATATACCAAAAGATAAATTAGCTGTCATTCTTTGAGATATAATATTAAAATTAATATTAATTGTAAAATAATATAAACGATCTTCAAAGTTAACATGACATATTTTTGATGTTTCTCTGAACTAGAATTTAATTCCCAAATGTAATCAAAATACATCTCTACGAACTGTTTTAAAATGTCTCAACTGAAGTGTCTAACTGAAATCAATGATTATTAATAACATTTTAAAAATATTTTATCAATTAAATAGTTTTCTTTTTTAAATTAAAACTCCTTTGTCATTGTAGCAATGATTATAAGGCACGTCGTACGTCTATGTCTTATAAATTTATCATGAATATTTTACAATATAATTAAAGTCCACTCGTATCATGCAGTTTGAAACTATATATAGATTTAACATGTAAATTAGCTATATAATTGTAATAAATGTCATATACAGTAAAAGTAAGTTGTCTTATTTGTAAATGATATTATCGATATTGCTGCCATGGATGGGGTGGTCAGAAATATATTAATTGTAACTCCGAAATTTTTGTTAATATTTTTTTAAATGTATGTATTTTAATTATAATCATTACATGGTCGAAAATTTGTGTATAGAGTGTAGCTGACCACCAATCTCCTGGTTGCAAACAATAAAGAATGACACGAAATGTTTAAACGCGAGCGAACTGACAATCAATAATTTTATGTTGTGGCACAGGACTACTAGGATGGCTGACCCCCAACAAACTGGGACAACAGCCAGAAGAAAGAAGACTTAGTAAAATATTTACTTGAAAAATGTTTATCTTTTTGTCCTTAT